AGCGCGGGAGGCGCCGGGGCCGCGCGCACAGCGGGGCAGGGGCGGTTCGGGTTCCGCGTAGGTGATTCGGGACCCTGGAGCTGCGCACACGGCAGCCCCATCGCATGCCAGCATCGCTGTCTCGCACCGTCCCCTTTTCTTCCGCTTTCTTGCCCTTTTCTCCACTTTTTCTGCTACTTCGTGGCACGTTCTCTTGCACTCACAACTGTTTTACAGCAGTGAATTTTGATTTTTAGCTCAGTGCCTGTATCACCCGTATCCCGAGCAGCGGAGCCGCCGTCCCCGTGCCTCCAGGTGGATGCCCAGTCAATACCCAAAGCCACCCCAGACCACAGAGGGGCACGTGGGGCAGGAGGGCTTATCCGAAGCGCTGAGTGCAGCCCCGTGTAACTGGGGCACCTGTGTCCATGCTTAGGTGTTCACTGACATTAAGACTTTCACAGGCACGGGAATAAGCGGGAGAAGGAGAAGGGGAGTCCATCCTGTGTCTTTAGTAGATTTTTCCTCTGATGTTTTCACACCAGCACCTCATCCTCCTTGTGTTCTGGAAAGTAATGTTTAGCACTTGTGCTTAAAATCCTGGTATAAACAGCAAGTGGGTTACAGGGGCTGTGCTGAGTGATGTTAGTTGTGTGTTTGCGTGCACCTCCTAATAACAGGGAAACTGAGGCAGAGCATTGAAATGACTCACGTAACTACTGAAAAAGTGGTGGAACCAGCATTGAACTCCAAGCCTGATCCTAAGGCTCGCCGGGGAAGGGATCAAGCTCCATGAGGATGGAGCGGGGGGAGGATGTGCAGCCACATCCATGTTCGGGAGCACCAGGAGTTGCCACATCCCTGGGCATTCAATGGGGGATGCTAAAATCCCCCCGTGGAGGCCCTCCTGCTTCTCCCCACGGCAGTGCCTGAGCAGTTGTGTTTTGGATGCCCAACTCCCAAGCTGCCCGACGTCCCTTGTGCTTCCTGAGGAGCAGCTCCAACCTGCTCCCAGGTAGGGAGGCATTTGCCTAAATTTCTCTCGTCTTGGGTGTGGCTGCATGATCAATTTAAGCTGGTCTAAATCCAGGCTGCTCCTGAAAAAGGTGTTTTTCCTCCTCTGGCCCCAGTGCTGCCTCCGCTCTCCAACACTGATACTAGCACCTGTATCCACACACATGTCAGCAAGGTGAATTTGCTTGTAAACATGTGTGTATATACGTGTTTCCGTGTTTGTGCGTGCAGCGTTAGCTTTCTGCTGGATCCGCTCCATCGGAGAGGGTGCCCGGGCTGGGCACAGGCAGCGGGGGCTGCAGCGTCTGCACGGGCTCCATTTCGTTCGCCCGCAGCCTCCGTTCCCTCCCTCCCTCGAGCTTGGAGGCTGCTGTTTCAGCAAGCAGGAGGGGAAGGAGAACTGGCTTCATCATGGATAGAGAGGTCCAAAAGCCCCTGGACCTGGGGAGCCCCGAGCTGGTGCAGCAGAGGGACCAGCTGCCCGAATTACTTGTACCTGCATGTTGCAGCTGTAGGTGTCATTGCAGAAACAGCAGAAGAAAAGCAAACTCCAATGTGACTTCTTTTTTTCTCTCTCTTTTTTTTTTTTCAAAAAGGTTCTTGTTTGAATCTATTTCATTTTTGTTTGGTTAAGTGGTCTGGTTTTGGCCAAGATTAAGATACTTACTGATTTAATAGAGGATTTCTTTCAAGACGGGGGAATGCTGAAACTGTATGCTGTCCTTTCACTGGAATAGTTGAGGGAGTTTAATCTGTTTTAGCAGCATTTTCTGTGGTGCTGTTTTTCCATCCTTCACATTTTTGTGGTTGTAACAGGTACAGGGTTAAATAGATGCATCATGGCTGGCAAGAGGGGTGCTGCATGGATTCTTCAAACACGCTGTTCCAAAAACATGTCCGTGCGTGTGAGATGAGAAAGGGGAGTCTCTTTTTGGGTGGCACGTTTGTGGCTACGGACTTCAGCCTGCTTTGGGACACAGCAAAGAGCAGCGTTTACTCTGCTGCATTCAGTAAGGGATGCTGCTGCTCGTACTCCTCAGATTTGAGCTTGAATTTCAAATACCCTCCAAACTAACTGGGTTGTTGTTTTTGGTTGTTTAATAAATATATATAGACAGCTCCTTTCCTGCATGTGCCTAGCAAGGGTCCTGCTTCCCGGAAGGTCGTCAGCCCCACACAGGTTGCTGAAGTGTCAACACCCACTTGTCATCATCCTCTTTTTCCTGCTCCTTCCCGGATCAGTTAAGAAACCAGTTTTTCCTCCTACTCCTCTCTACTCCTCTGATCTCTCCTTCTCTTCTTGAGCAGGAAAACCAAATGCTTGTGATGAAGTAATCCCTGTTTGTTGGCACTTGCTGCTTCAGATAATTTCTATAAAAACAAACTCCCAGTGGAAATGCTTTTCTTGAGGTTCTGTGTGAGCCACGTTACCCATTGAGCAATTTTTTATTCTCTTTGAGCTTTGCGTGTATGCACTTATCTGATTTTTGTACCAACTACCACCATTGTTTTTGTCTGTGTTGAAATCGGCATGCTTGAAAGCAGGCATTTTGGAAATAAAGGAGTAATTTGGACACATGAAATGCACAAAATGTGCAGGTATGTGCACTTGCTTAACTTGTATGTGCTGTTACCATCATCGTTTACTTGTATTAAACAAGGGGCAGAGTTTGGCCATTTGCATTCAGATTTACCACATGGGCAGTAAAAAGTTCAGCTTTTGCTTACAATCTCATGACTGTTTTTAAAAATCAGACATGAAACATTTTTTCCTCCTTTTTGTTGAATCAATTCCAAACTATTTGCCTTTCTGCTTTGATGTCCTCCTTGTCACTTTTAACTTTTTTTTTCATTCTTCTTTGCTTTCTCTTTCATTTGTCTTAAACAAATTCCCCTTCAAAGTTCATAGCCAACTTCTTTCTTCTTCCAAATACTCTTACTAAAAGAGCACGTTTGGGGGATTTTCACTGTTCTTCTGGGCTCTGCAAATGGAAAACACTTATATAACAAAATAATGGCAGCATTATTTGTATAAGAATGCATAATTAGCTCGCATATTTTATTACCTCATATTGGATTATCCTTATCTGAAGTTCCTATTCATCTCTTCAGCATTATTACTGAGAACAGACTCAGCTACATGAAAGTAATCGCATTATGGATAAGCTATTACACTAACTCTAATCCAAGAATTTGAACAGATCTAGGCTGGACTGTGCTGACTATGTTACAAAACTGAAATATTGATTCTCATTGTACTGATCAGAGGAGAGACAGATAGGAAGTTGGCTTCCAGGTATGAAATGATATAGGAACTTCTGGAGATGGTAGTAATAACTAAAAATAATAAATAATCCTTGGCTTTATGAATTGGGACTGTAGTGCTGAATCTAATGTGCAAGAAGTACCCAAGGTGAGCCAAGCTGAGGCCCTAACGTACGAAGCTAGATCTCCATGGGGTTTTTTAAATTATTATTATTTACTCCAGACAACATTAGAACCAAATTCTTATCATTTAAACATATATGGTATTATACTGGGCAAAATTCAGCATTATACATACCCTACATGCAGTATGAATAGATGCATATTTTATCTATGTACTCTTTTACATAATTGTATGGTGGTATGAGTGTGCATGCATATAGCAGTACACTTCAGTAATACATGCATATTTTAATCTTATATAAGTAATATGTTTCTGTACCACAGAAATACAGATACAGATACTATTTAACACAAAACGACTTCTAGACCAAAGCAGCCCAAACAAAACTCAGTTTTAATTTTGCAGAATTATTTTTTTCTGTATACATTTGATTTTTTAAGGCACTGGCGTAAACCCAGCATTTGTCTTCACAGGTAGTGTTGTAATCTGAACATCTGAAATTTTGGGCATATGTTTGTGAAAAAGTATGCCAAGAACGCAGCCCTAGGTCGTATTGTTAGGAGAAGCCTTAAGGCATGCTGTGGCCCTGAAAGTCT